ATTAGTGAGAGCTATCAATGTAAAAGGTCACATATACTTTGGTTTTTTCTTCTTGCTGCAGTTCAAAACTAGGATTGATCTTGTCACTGCAGGGATGGAGTGTCAGGGACCAGATGTGCCATCTTTCACAGAGCAGCCCTAGCACAGAAGGACTCTCATACCAGCCAACTCAGAATACTGAGAGAGGTCAGTGGACCCACTCCAGGTTTATTACAGTGTAATTAAGATTAAGAAAGTTTACAAATTCCTTAGTCCAATTCTGGGTGAAAGCAGAGAGATACCTAAATATGCCTACTTACCGAATGGCTTGTCTTACGGTTTCCTACACACTCATTTGCTGTGGTGCTTTTGTTCTGCATTTACACTCATGGCCCACCAGTAAAATAAGCCTTAAAAGCTTTATCTACATAGAACTAATGATGCTCTAAAGATCAGCACCCCTTTAACATGCTCTACTGGACAGGCTGAGAGCCTTAACTTCATTCATTATGGGAGAGAACAAGGGTGATCCTATGAAGGGTCTACTTTAAATAGGTCTTTTGTGTACTGCTGAGCTTTGCAGCATCTGACACCTCAAATTTACAATGTAAGTCAGTAGTGCAAACAAAGCACAAGATTTATTAATGTGGTGCATTCTCTGCTACCCTGGAGGAACAGCACTCCCCTGACAAAGACGCACTTCACCCCAGGAAGCCCCACAGAGACGAAATGTGTTTGAAGCTCAGTTCTGGCTGTAGCACCTGACGCCCCAGCAGGGGGTTGTAGAGGCAAGCAAGTGAGGAGCAGTTTCCAGAGGCCTGATTCAGGCACAGGTGCTGAATTCTCCATATTAGTGCGGACTCTCTGTACTGCTCCTCTGGAGCACCAGCTCTGTCATACATAGCCAGGTTAGCTACCTCTTTCCACAGCAGATGGGATCTACCCAGAGTATCTTTACTGGGTTCATAGGCAATTAGGTGCAATGTGGAGCATGTTTAAGGTTCATACTGCCGTGCACTGGAAACATACTGGTGGTAGCTAAATGGACTAGGCATCAGTACTAGAGGCAGTTTAGCTGCAGCAGCACCAAGCTCTGTGCGATAACTAATTTAAAATCTGTGCTGTTTCCCGTAATTATGCTGAATCAGGCATCCCTTACTGCTCAGCAGTCTCAGTATTGACATATGCTTAGGCCACAGCTGTGTAATACAGTGTATCTGGCTGTAGGGCTTTTAGAACCAGGTGAAATTGTTATGGTCACAAAAGGCAAAGTGCTAATCCAGTATAAATTTGCTTTGCCAGCATGAAACTCTTCAAATAACTTTTGCAGATTATTTGAAAAACAAAAAGCAGCTTTTATCCAGGACCAAAACTCATTTGGCCTCCCACGGCCAGCCCAAGCTCTGTATTCTGTGCTTCAGCTAATTCAGCAGAAAAGAGATTGTGTGCCCATGTCTTATCTGAATGAAATTTGTAGCTGCATGGTCTGACAGTAAGGTAATTCGGTTTT